TGCTTTTTTTTTTTGCTTTTTTTTTTTTTGAGTTCAAGGACCTCACATCAAAAATCATTAAAATATCTCTTGCAGTGGTTATCTAAAGAAACTTCATGATGATTACTCAATGAAGTGGCTCAGTGTACCTGGATGTGAAAACATCACTGATACACAATGCAATTTCTCATCTATCATCTCTACTACTTCCGGAATTTATTATCTTCGTGTGCAGGCCATGAGCGAATATAATAAATCATGTGTGTCTAATGAAGTAAAAGTAGATCCTCTGATAACAAGTAAGCAAACATGTTTTCTTAACTTTTCATTTCTCAACAAATTTGTGTCTAATGCTGTTATTTGCCAAAAGAAACTTGCTAGATTAATGAAACAGAATACATAGTTCCCCTACAGAAACTGCGTTGGGAATCCTAGCCTCATCAAGTTAAAAAGGAGTTTCTCCATGGTTTCTCTATTCAGCACAGCCAGTATTTCACTATATTTAGAATCATATCATTTGCTTTATAAAATTAAACCACAAAGCATAGTATACAGTGAGATTATAAAATGCCATACAATGTTAATCACTGTGTGAGATTGTACTAGAAATATCTCTAGTCTGACTTTTGCCATTGACATCTTAGATATCTTGATATCTTAGAAAAACAATGCCAAAGTCACATAACTTTGGAATCCTCTGCCTCTCTTTTCTTGTGCATCTATTCTCATCTCCTTCTCTCTACCCCTGCACAGTGCACCCCTGAATTTTGTGTTGAAGCAGTATTACATTGACAGACAACACTGAAGAGCTTCATGAAAAAGCAATCTTAAATGATAGTGACATCTAAGTAAAAAATACATAACACTTTCCAGAGTGAAAAGATGATAATTTTTATCTTTGGTGCACTCTTTGATTTTGTGAGAAATAGGACCTTACTAAAATGTTTGACTTCAAAAAAGTTATCATTCATAAACGTCAAGAAATGTTTATATCTAGTATGTAGGGTAATATTCCATTGCCTTCCATACTGAAGATGGAATCAATGGCTATTCCATATGTCAGTTTTCCCTTGTCCAAGCTCTTGGTAATTAGATAGTTCTTTAATACAATAACAGTGACCTAGGTAAATAATTCAACAAAAGACAACAAAAACTGTAATACTTCTCACTTTTCAACTATACTGTAACTGTGAAATGGGGTATATGTGAAAAGGAGGGCCCACATCCTGATGAGTTAAGAAGTGTTCGGTAGTTTCACTTTGACTTGCATAGAGTTAATCCCACTGTCTGTGTGTTTCACTGAAACTTGCAGAAGCAACATATGAATGTGGAAAGAGAAAATAATTGAAATACTTCTTGGGACTTGAGATTCTGAATAAAGCTATTAGTGAAGTTAGACTTTTAAGTGTATGTTTCTTAAAAATTGTCATAGATTTAAATTATAGTATTTCATGCAATATGTTTATTTGTATTCTTTCAGTCTTATTTTTAACTTTTTTTTTTAATGTCTTAAGATGAAATTGGCCCTCCTGGTGTAAAAGTGGACATCAGTGATGTTTTGCTCCATATCCAGATTTCTCCTCCAGGAGGATCTGAGAATGAAGTCATGAGGGACCATTATGACTTGTCTTACCGGATTCTGTATTGGAAGAATTCATCAAATAATGAGGTATGAACAAGTTAAATACTTAAACCAGTGTATAAAATTTGTTGTGACTTAAATACTGAGTTTGAGTTCTCCTCAAGAAGCTTATTTTCAAAAGAGGTACATATATGGTGTATCAATCATGCGATTGTTTGTTTTGTTTTTTTTCTCCCCTGGAAGATTCTTTTAAAAATCTGGTCAAGATGACCTTTATCGCAAAGTAATTGAAATTTTAGTCTTTTTCCATTTATGTGTCTGTATGTAATGATTTGCAGAATTGCACTGAGTTTTGTACGAGCTGCTAAATGGCTCACTTCTGAATAGAAGTTGTAGGGCTCTTGTGATGCTGTCTTTCTTGCAGTATGACTCTGTGCACTGTCTTAATGTAGCTTCTGGCCCCTCAAATTCTGTTCTTTTCTGTATTTGTGGCTTTATAGCTATATGTATCATAAAATAATGAAGTCTTGCATGCTTTTAGCTCACATTTTAATGGATCTTTCCATATTCTTTAAATGCTTCTTACAGTAAAATATTTTACAGTAATTGGTAAATGTGTATGTGTAAATGCATGGAAGAAGAGAAAAAAACAAACTACAACAAGAAGAAGTTTCATTCTGCACGCAGCTTTGAACTGTAAAATTCCAGTATGGCAAAAGCAGTTGGTTCTTGCTGATAAGTGTTTCCTGAATGTGTTTGCTTAGGAGAGAGTTCTGTGGTTCCTTTTATTTTATTTAATCCAAGTACAGAATGGTGTCTAACTTCTTACAGAATTACTTCTTCAGCAGAGGCCAAAATTCTAATCTGAGTGACTCTTGTACTATTTATGTGCATCTTATTCTTCCAACTTTTCTTTTTCAGGAGGAAATCAAAATGAAAGAGATAAAACAGACAATAGGGACAATCTCTGATCTAACACCCTTGACTTTGTACTGTGTAAAAGTACAAGCCTTCTCAGAAGTTTACAACAAAAGCAGTCATTACAGCAAAGAGGAATGCATCAAAACACCTGGAGGTAGGAAGAGCTTGGGAATTGTTACACTTCTGGAAGTAGAACAGTTAACCCTTCACAGGCCTTTGCAGGTCTCACTAGTTTAAAAAGTATTTGCAGCATGACTTATTGGCCTCACAGACTTTGCACGTAGTTAGGTAGAGATCCCTATCAGCAGTCTGTCACTTAGCTGCTCTGTGTTGTCTCCTGTAGCTAAACTAATAAACTGCTTCTGTTCTGACCTAATAAAAATTACATTCTGGTTATTCCACCACACAACTCAGTTTAGAAATTATCTCACATTAATAACTGTAATGATTGTGAATTGAACTTAGTTCTGTACAATGACTTGTTAACAGGCAAGCTTTAATTTCCAGTACTTTTAAGATATTTTTAGGAGGGTGCAACAAATCACTAAATGCTATGTTTTCAAGAATATTTTATTCTTGAAATTGTCTTAATTCTTCTGTGAATTAATTAAATTTTTAAAAAATCCTGCACTAAAGTATGAGGAGACAAATCATTGGACTCATAGCTAAAAAGCTCTCCTTTGTGCAAAATGAGAATACATTTGTAGATGGACTACAGTTACTCAGAACACAAGAGCAAGTTATCTGTTGAATTTAATTTGACCAATTATCTTCTATTAACAGGCTGTAACACTAGAAAAATTACTAAGTATTCAAACTGACTTAAAACTAAGAAAATGTAATAATAGTAATGCTACTTTCTCACATCTTAAGTTCTTAGGATTCATTTATATTGTAGTCCTCACTGCTTTGTCTTTATCAAGCCTAAAAAGGAACAAATGTTACTCTTTTTACCTTAATAAGAGAAAGTCTTTAATCTATTTTACTAGTTAGTTATTAGTCTTCCCCATATCCTTCTATTACAATGAGCCTATTTAAGACCAAGCAGCACATTCAAGGCTTTATATTGAGAGATGCAGTCATGCAGATCCTGCCCTGTACTTCCCATATGTTCTTATATCCCGGTATGGAAATCCTTCATTCTTTGATCATTCGTACTAACTGGAAATAGAGATAAGAAGACCTGCTTGTTTCATCTTTGATTATTTCTGAAGTGTCTCCTGGTATGTATTAATTTTAGTATGTTCAAACTCCTTTCAGTTCATTTGTTTGAGATAGTGCCAGAGAATATGTTACAAAGCATAAGAGTGGAGGGGAGAAGGAAGCTTGCAAGACTCTTGAACTTAAGCACTGAATAGCTTATGACTATACAGATAAAAGGTTTCTTTGACTACACTATCTTACTATCAAAAACTGGATTCTGTCATGTAAACTCCTTCTGCCATAAGGTCCCAACCTTAAGTCCTGGAACTGAGCCTAGCCTGTTAGATTTTCCACAGTTCCTGGGTTAATACAGGAATGCAGGACCATAGAATCATAGAATGGTTTGAGTTGGAAGGGGCCTTGGAAGATCATCTTTGAAGATCCCATGGGCGGGGCCCCCTTCCACTCTATCAGGTTGCTCAAAGCCCTGGCCAACCTGGCCTTAAACATTTTCAATGATGGGGCATCCACAGTTTCTCTGGGCAACCTGTTCCAGTGTCTTACCACCCTCATTGTAAAAAAATTTCTTCCTTATGTCCAATCTAAACCTACCCTCTTTCAGTTTAAAACTGTTGCCCCTTGTCCTGTCACTACAGGCTTTGGTAAAAAGTGTTTCTGTCTTATAAGCCCCTTTTAAGTACTGAAAGGCCTCAACAAGGTGTCCCCAGAGCCTTCTCCAGGTGAAACAACCCCAACTCTCTCAGC